TCGGAATTTAGGGAGTTTTAGTCATTATGATACTTAAGTTATATCTGAAAGTGAACCCCAAATAACCAGATCATACAGTCAATTTCCTAGCAAAGCCTTTCATTTCTAGGGATATTTTAAGTCTTAATTAAGAGCCATGAAAGGCCTGTACTTTAGCCACACAATCCTGGAAAGGAATTACAGTGAAGGGATTCTTTTAAAGGTAAAAATCAAGAAGTTGGCTGAGTGGAGAGGAGTGTAGGTCAGCAGCATCACCTGGGGAGGAATGTCAGTGGCTACTGACAGGGAAAGGACTTTACAGAAGGTTCTATGACCTTTCTCTGGTCCCCAAAGGTTACCATGAAAGGACAATAGACAGCAGATTCCCTTCTTAATTAACATTTTTATTAAATAACCCATTTCAAATAATGGTTAAATTCTCTAAATTTATATCATTCTATTAACCATAATCTAATCTCATTAACCTTGAAATCCCAGTCTTAACTATCCAATTCTATCCACCCTGGTACTATCTACAAACTAATTAAGTGACCTTCAAACTATTTGTCCTCCGTACAAAATCATTTTCATTGCTCTGAGTTCTTTGCTCCATGTCTCTCTCTCATTCGTATGATTACATTTTGATTCATTAATTTGTTTATCTGTTGTGTGTAAGCCAGTGGACAACTTCTGGGAGTCAGTTCTCCCCTCCTGCCCTGTGGTCCTGGGGATCAAACTCAGGTTATCCATCAGTTAGAAGCCATCACCTTTATCCACTGAGCCATCTTGCTGACCCTGGATCTCTTGATGTCACTTCCTGTGCCCATAGCTACTGCAGGTCCCTGATTAAAGAAGCATGTTTCCACCAATAGTCACATTACTGTAATCTCACTTTATTCAAAATAGCCTATTATTTACAGACTCCCTTGCTATTCCCACCCACACTGTCTAACTGCCTAGTGGCTTGCTGTCTCAGTCTAAGGGTTCTACAAAGGAGGCTGGGGATGGAGTTCACTGGTAAAGCATATTTCCCACCCTGGGTTTGATTTTCAGTTTGGATAACAGGAGAGAGGGAGGGGCTGGAGAGATGGCTCAGGGGTTAAGAGCACTGACTGCTCTTCTAGAGAACCTGGGTTCAGTTCCTAGTACCCACATGGCAGCCCATAACTGTCTGTAACTCCTAAGGGATCCAACACCCTCACACAGACATATATACTGGCAAAACACCAATGTACATAAAAATACAAATAAATAATTTTTAAAAAATGAGAGGGAATGAGAAAGGAAGGGAAGAGGTCCTGTAGGGGGCGCTGTGTACCTGTGTTGATTACACAGCCAGAGAACACAGCTCTTACCCACACAGGAGCTCCCTGGTTACCCTCAGTCCTATGGCGAAGTGCCCTGGACTTCAATGCCACGGGGCTCAGCAGTGGCTCTAGGCAATGGCTCTAGATCATTCACTCCGGTTGCTCCTATCCCCAGGCAGGCTAAGGAGACAAGAGCCTCACTGTTAACTCCGGCCTTGCTTCTGCATGCTTTCTCCACTCTGGCCAAGAGAGGTCACAGTACCACGAGCCCACATTCTGATGAGTGAGCACATGCAATCTACTTCTTCTCTTCTGCCCGCCTTCACAGCCCCCAACACCAGGATGCCCCTGACCTTCTAACATCTGTGTTCCGAGCCACGTAGAGGGGCAGAGTCCATCCACATGCTCGCGTGTTTTATAACACGGGAAGGCGTCTCCTGGGCAAGGGCTGTAGCTCAGTGGGCAGAGGCTTGCCTGCTACTCATAATGACCTGGGTTTCGGCCTCAGTAACAGAAAACCAAGAAAGCAAACTGCCATTTCTCAACGTGTGTCTCACCAAGTGACCCTGTACACAGTTGCAAGGATGTGGGGTTAGGGCACGTGTGGCATTAGATCTTTTCATTTTTAAAGAGGGTTGTGATTGGACAAGGTTAAAAAAAAATCAGCATTGCCGGGCGTTGGTGGCGCACACCTTTAATCCCAGCACTCGGGAGGCAGAGGCAGGCGGATCTCTGTGAGTTCGAGACCAGCCTGGACTACCAATTGAGTTCCAGGACAGCCTCCAAAGCCACAGAGAAACCCTGTCTCGAAAAACCAAAAAAAAAAAAAAAATCAGCATTTACCTATTACCAACACTCCATGTCTCAGTACACTTGGACTGGGTTGTAAATTACCATGAAAAATGCAGTTAAATCAAAGGCCTGACAGACAAGCTTGTGTATATATAATCACCTATGTGGTAGCAATTTCATAAGGAAGAATCTGGAAAAATGGTAGTTAGTCCCTTTGTAGAGTAGGACTTAGGAGAGAGAAAATAATTTTTTACTTCTGGGACAATCTCACATAGCCTGGGCTGGCTGAGATTGACTTTGAACCCTTGTCTTTTACCCCCAGGTGCTGGGACAGAAGGCTTGTGCTGTGGTGACCACTTTCTCTGCACATTTTTGTGCTGCTGGAATTAACCCAGAACCCTGCTCATGCAGCGAACCATCCTACCAGTGAGCCATGCCCTTAGCCCACACTTCTTTTCAACTTTACAAACTTTTTTTTTGGTTTTTCGAGACAGGGTTTCTCTGTATTGTTTTGGAGGCTGTCTGGGAACTCGCTCTGTAGAGCAGGCTGGCCTCCAACTCACAGAGATCCGCCTGTCTCTGCCTCCCGAGTGCTGGGATTAAAGGTGTGCGCCACCAACGCCCGGCTACAAACTTTTATACATTTAAAAATGAGGGAGAATGCTAAGTGTTGGTGGTGTATGCCTGTAGTCCCAGCACTTGGGAGGCAGAGGCAGGTGGATCTCTGTGAGTTCAAGACCAGCCTGGTCTACAGAGCAAGTTCTAGGATAGGCTCCAAAGTCACAGAGAAACCCTGTCTTTAAAAAAAAAAAAAAAAGAGGGGAAGAAGCATGTATGGGATAGGCTCTTGTAGGACTAGCCTACAACTCCGGGGCTCAGGGGATCCTCCAGACCATATACAGGGCACAATGCCCAGTTTAGAGTCAGAATCCAGGAAGCAGCTGGGTGTGGTGGCTCATTCCCATAGTCCCAACACTCTGGATGCTGAGGGAGGAAGGTCAGGAGATGAGCTTCAGCTATGGAGAATCTCAGGCCAGCTTGCCTACAAAACCCCTTATCTTGGGGTTGGAGAGATGTGTCTGTAGTTAAGGGCATTGGCTGTTGAGTGCCAGCACCTACCTCTCTATATGGTGGCTCATCACCATTTGTGACTCTAATTCTAAGGGATCTATCGCCCTCTTCTGACCTTCATGTGCATAGCACACATGAAGGGTGTACAGACACATGCACAGACAACTACACCCATAAAATAAAATCTAAAATTATTATTATTATTATTATCTGAGACACGGTTTCTCTGTGTAGCTTTGGAGCCTCTCCTGGCACTCGCTCTGTAAACCAGGCTGGCCTCAGACTCACAGAGATCCGACTGCCTCTGCCTTCCAAGTGCTGGGACTAAAGGCGTGTGCCACCATTACCTAACTTTAATTTAAAAAAAAATTGATAGAGACCCTGTCTTAAAACTCCCAAACACCAACCCCCCCAAACTTAAACCTCACAGATTGTTCCAAAATGTATTTTGAGTACTTAACTGGGGTAACCCCTGGGTTCTAAGGAACTCTAACCCACACATATTCATGCAGAGCTTCTGGAGTGCATGTATAAGCAGCTGAGGAGGGACACTCGTCTGGCACTAACTGCACTCAACTCTAGAAGGCACACACAGAAGTCAGCCATGGCCATTTTTGTCATAAAAGAAAAAACAACAAAAACCATGTAGCACACATGTTAGGACTAACATGATTCTAGGTTGTGGTCATTTGCTTGGGATAAAAGCAATCATACCATCAGTGCCACACGTCTGAGGCGAGGAGACTTTAGAAAAGCAAATGGAAGAGGCTATGTACAGGCAGTGGTCGAGACTCAAACCTCAGGTCTGCAACCCAACACGCTACGTTAAGAGAAAAGCAAACTGTCATGCCATTATCCACATACCGTATGTCCTCACAGCACCGCTCAACTTCCTGGCTGGTATACTGGATGCTCAAAAAGAGGAACGTGGAGGATTCTGGGTCACCTGGGAGGGCTGACTGACTGTGGAGTGTCACTAAGCTGAGGGAGCTTGGTAGGAAGCACCTGAGTTGGAAGTGAGTGGCTTCTTTTGAGAATAAAGCCCCTTGGATGACTGGGACAGGGCTGTGTTCTGCCCTAAATTAATATTAAACAAGGGGTATTCAGTTTCCTGGTGCACGGTTCCTCAGTAGAAAGCATAGGGCTTTGTGTCCACAGAAGACTCCCAGTGGGAAATCAACACCAGTAGCTGGAAGCAGACCCTAAGCTCGAGGGCAGGGAGAGAACTAAGAGAAGAAACAGGTATTCCGGGGGAGGCCAACTAGCATGTGTATGGTGGCGATGACAATCACCCTGGGAACACAGGCTTTTAGCATCCATAGTACCAGACCTAACATGGAATGCCAACATAACTGTCAAACAGTCTCCAAGTCACCTCTTCAGCCATCCTCCAAGCGAGGGGCACATGCTGAGGGGCTGGGCTACCCCCTCCTTGGAACCCGTCATGGGATCTGGCTGGTTTCTAAGCAGCAGAGAATCAACCTCCTTCTGTGTCCTTCACTGTCTACAATGGTTCATCCGCCATCTGCCAATCAAAGGCCATTTGCATCAAATCTTCTTCTGCCTGGATCAGTGGTTCTCACCCTGCCTAATGCTGCGACCCTTTAATACAGTTCCTCATGCTGTGGTGACCCCCAAACGTAAAATCATTTGTTGCTACTTCATGGCTGTAGTTTTGCTACTGTTATGAATCATAATGTAAATATGTTTTTTTTTCTGATGATCTTAGGTAACCCCTATGAATGGGACCCAAAGGTTGAGAACCATTGGTCTAGCTCAACCCTACCAGCGAGGCAGACTGCTGTAGTGAGTTGCCAAGTTGACAGAGAAGGACCCTTGCCAGGGTCTCACCTGGACGCCCTCGCCTGTGAGAGCTGAGCAGGACTGGATCTGCCAGACTCGGTCTCTGATGGTGTGCAGGTTCAGCCCTTCGGCAATCTCAGAGGCAGGGGCTGCGGTCAGCAGGTCCTGCTTGTTAGCAAAGATGAGCACGGGCACACAACTTAGCTTTTCTTCCTCCAGCAGTTCCGTTAGTTCCTGGACCAGTTTTTGGGAAGGAAAGAGGAGAGAAGCTTGAGAACTCTGACTTTTAAGCATGCATTTGGAATTATAACCCATTACGTAGTTAAGCTGATCAGCAGCAGCTTTCAAGGCAGAGACCTGCAGGCTGTACCTGTGCAAGATTCCCTAGCCAGTTTCTGGGCTCAAGCTAGGGATGCTGACTACAGAAAGTCAGCGCCAGCGTCTAGGAAGCACTAGTAACAGGCTCCCCAGGTGTTTCTGTTCTACGTGACTCAGGCCACACTGAGAAACACCCTGAGCCACTGTTTAAGGCAGAACACAGATGGTGGCTGGAGACTTCATTCAGACTTATTCAAGCTTATCCCCCAAGAATATCTTTTTCATTGTTCTTCAGGTGCTAGGAATTGAACCAAGGACCTTATATGTGCTAAGCAAGTGTCCCTCACTGGGCTAGACCACACCCCCACAAATAACTTAGTGCATTGTGCATATGCATTTATGCATAGAAATGAAAATGACAACTAGAAATCATTGTGTCTATTAGTCTCTATCTCCAAAACATGACCCATGCATCAATATTCATCAAACTCACATCCAGAAAGCACTGGAAGGGACCACGCCTTTACTGGTCCTCCAGGTCACAGGCAGAACTCTAAACTGCATGTTAACTCTGTCTCTAGTAATTTCAATTGCGTAGATACACTTACCTAATGGACAGACTCTGCCTCTTTCCCTCTAAGCTCACATTTTAGCTACTTTAAACATTCAACTAAGCCTCGTGTTGGTGGCGCATGCCTTTAATCCCAGCACTCGGGAGGCAGAGGCAGGCGGATCTCTGTGAGTTCCAGGCCAGCCTGGTTCTACAGAGCGATTTCCAGGACAGCCTCCAAAACAATACGGAGAAGCCCTGTCTCAAAAAACAAAACAAAACAAATTCAGCTAAACAAGAAAAACTGGAAAGCTTTGGGCATGGTGGCGTACACCTGTGATCCCAGCCCTTAGGAGGCAGAGGCTGGTGGATCTCTGTGTGTTTGAGGCCAGCCTGGTCTACAGAGTGAGTTTCAGAACAGCCAGGGCTCACAGTGAGACCCTGTCTCCAGAAACAAAAACAAAAAGACAAAAAGGAAGTAGAGAGCTCAGGAGGCAGCTAACTCCTAGGACACCCCTGCCCCAAACTCAAGTACAGCGCTGGCTCACGGCAGCGATGGCCCAGAAAGCACTGAGCATGGAAGGGGCAAGACTCCTCAGCCCACTTTGCAAGAAAAATGGACTGAAACATGGGCACTTCTGCCTTTGGAAACAGGCCATAAAGTCTGCACTAAGATCCAAGCATGGCTCTCTAGGGACTCCCCTCCCCCTTGCTGCTCCTGCTGATGACCTCACTCTGGCCTCAGTGGTCCAGACTATGTATACAAACCATGTATGTACGTGTATCTAAAACCATGTTAACATGTACCCTGCCATTGAAGCTATGCTTGTGTTCAAAGTTGACCTTGTCTCCTGGTTTGAAAATGAGTAGCTTGGTTTTGGCTTGAATGTTTCTTATCCTTCTGAATTTGCCAAAGTTACTCTTGGTCAATTAAGTATTGAAAAGTGTAAACAGAAAAGCTAATTGTAGTGTTTATGAGTACATTTCTACAAGGTCCGTGAAAAACCCAGAAGGACTTTGGGATATGGTAAAGTCCTATTTTCGCATATATATAATGCACTCAGTGTTCTGCCTGCATATATGCCTGTATGCCAGAAGAGGGCACCAGATCCCACTATGGATGGTTGTGAGCCATCATGTGGTTGCTAGGAATTGAACTCAGGACCTCTGGAAGAGCACACAGCACTCTTAACCTCTGAATCATTTCTCCAAATCCCATTTGCTTATATCTTATATATTAAATTTGGTTAAGTCAAAATACTTTTATCAAAAGATACTGCAAAAGACTCAAAACTCACTTCTTTTTGGACAGCTGGTATTTTGCCTGCTTGCCAGAATGAGCCTCTTCCTTGAAGTGTAACAAGAAGTTCCCCCCCCTCCCTCACACATACTTCAAGGAGATTAATGGATACCTGGTGCTTTGGGGAAGAGTTCCACATAAAAATCATTTACCTGACCCGTCTCTTCAAACCTTTTTCTGTCCGCACTGTCAATTACATATATCTGCAAAGAAAAACAAGAAAGCTACTTCAATAAACGGATACAGTTTTACCAAAGGAACAGAATGGGGTCTGAGTTCAGATTAGCCCAACCTATAGAAACGGCTTGGCTATTCTCAGCCCATCTGTGGAAGCAAAATAAGCCAATGAATGAGCTAAGGGTGCCCACAAAACACACCCAGGGAAACTCCCAAAACAAAGAGGGCAAAATAAGTGCATTCAGTGGACCCCTGGTCTTTCCAAGTGAGGCTTCCTAGTCCGCTAGCTAGTTCTTCCTACAGTTCCACGAGACAGACTCTCACTGTTTTCCTATTTGACACACAACGAAACATAAAGTCTAAACAATAACCTGCCCAAGTTCCACCCAGTATGTGACAAAGCTGGGACTCAGACTCAGGCACACCTGGCAATGACCTCCACAGCTGTTCTCTACCATGCTTCCAGGATGCTCCTTGTCCTCAGACTGGATGGATGGGAGGGACTAAAGGGGACAGTGTTTGCAGGCAACTTCAGTCCTATACTCCCAGACATCATTTCTCTGAAAGTACCAGCATTCCTTCTGTGCTGACTTTGGGGCTGAGACAAGAGACAGCTCTCTCCCTCTCTTTCATTACCGCCTCCCCAGGCTGCTGGGGATCAAGACTGAAGACTAGCAACAGATGGGCAAGCCAGGCTAGAAGGTAATGTTGTTGTTTTCCTTTCTTTGTTTTGAGACAGGGAGTCATGTGACCCATGCTGACTCTGAAATTTTGATCCTGTCTGACTTGTGGGTACACGCGTGTTTTCTGGGGTCCTGGGGATGAACTTGCTGGGTACACGTGTGTTTTCTGGGGTCCTGGAGATGAACTCGGGGCCTCGCATGAATGTGAGGCAGGCTTTCTACTACCTCAGTTACATCCCCAGCAGAAAGAAACCTGAGACTCATTGTAAGTTACAAATCTGAAGCTTCCCCCTCTATCCACAGGTTTTAGTACAAAGAAACTGCACAACAATGAGGAAGATAAAGTCTAAAAGACAGAAGGAAGAATCACCATGGCTACAGTTTCTAAACACATCAGCTACTTATATTTCCTACAGAAGGCTCCGCCCAGACAGGTGTAGGGGCACACGTTTGCAATTTCAGCCCTTGAGAGGCTGAGGCAGGAGGACTGCTATGAGGATGAGGCCAGTCTAGGCTAATCTCAAACTCACTCTGTAGTGAGACACTGTCTTGAAGAGTTCTTTCCTAAGTCTTCATATGCAAATTTAAAAAGAATATGAGAAATAAGATTATGTACCTTTAAAACATTTTATTTATTTTATATGTGTGGGTGTTTAGTCTGTATGTTTGTCTGTCTATCATCTAACACCCACAGAGACCAGAAGAAGGTGGTGGATCTCCTAGGACTGGAGTTGAAGATGGTTGTGAGGCACCATGTGGGTTCTGGTAAGTCGCCTGGAAGAGCAGTCAATGCTTTCAACCACTGAGCCATCTCTCTAGCACCCCTCCATTTTTTTTTCTTTTTTTTTCTCTGTGTAGCTCTGACTGTCCTGGAACTCACTCTGTAGAGCAGGCTGTCCTTGAACTCAGAGACCTGCCTGTCTCTGCCTCTTGAGTACTGGGACTAAAGGTGTGCATCACCATCACCAGGCATATTTTTAAAATTCTTTTAAAAATGAACATTGTTGCCGGGCGTTGGTGGCGCACGCCTTTAATCCCAGCACTCGGGAGGCAGAGGCAGGTGGATCTCTGTGAGTTCAAGGCCAGCCTGGTCTACAGAGCAAGTTCCAGGACAGCCTCCAAAAGCCACAGAGAAACCCTGTCTCGAAAAACAAAAAACAAACAAAACAGAGCACTGTTACTTGGTGAGGTTGGTGATAACAAACCTGCAGTCTCACCATTTGGGAGGCTGAGGCAGGAGGATCAAGAATTTGAGCAGCCTGAGCAGCATGCACATTAAGTATTAAGTCTGAGGCCAGCCTAGTTATATAAGACTTCGTTTTGTCTCAAAAAAAGAAAAAAGAAAAAGAACTTACTATTATTATTGAGCATAATGGAACACTCTCTCTCAAAAAGCACATTCAGTTAAAAACAGAAACCAGCCTTCAGCTCTCTCCATCACGTAACCTAAATCACAACAATGGATTCTGCAACGCTCACAGCACTGCTGCTGAATCAAATTCTGTCACACAGCATTCTTTGGGAAAAGAAAACGGTCATTTAGTCACTAGTGCTTACTATTATAGCGGATTCCAAGTTTACATTTCCTCGAAAGAATGGCCCCTACTTCCACTTGGAGAATCATGAAGCAGGGGCGGGGGTGGGAGGATGAGATTTCAATATTTAGTTGATTGGTACTGACTCAGTGAATGATCAGTGGGTGTGCACATGCCGCAGACATCCTGTGCCACCTGACACTGACAATAAGTCACTATGCAGGCACTCGTGGTGCACACGCTATTTTCACGTACTTTGGGTTTTTCAAGACAGGGTTTCTCTATGTAACAGTTCTAGCTGTCCCGGAACTCGCTCTGTAGACCAGGCTGGCCTCAAACTCACAGAGATCCACCTGCCTCTGTCTCCCAAGTGCTGGGATTAAAGGCTTGAGCTACCAGCACCCGACTGTTTATTTTTAAATTAAATGAAATTTAAATTTATTTCGTTATGTATGTTGGGGGCTTAGGCTTTGTTGTTGTTTTGTTTTTGAGACAGCGCCTCTCTCTATAGTCCTAGCTTTTCTAGAACTCACTATGTAGACCAAGCTGGCCTCAAATTCACAGAGATCTGCCTGCCTCTGCCTCCTGAGTGCTGGGAATAAAAGTGTGCAACAATGTTGGGCCTAAAAAGGCCGGGACACAAGGCCTAGCGGAACTTCCTGAGCCTGGCCAGAGTTTGGCTACCTGTCTCTGGCCTATCACTTCTGCATAGGAGTGACTCAGCAAAAACCTGCTTTTGCCCAGCTACTGCTAACGTAGTGAAATACTATTGGCTCTGACACATCGCCCCATCCTGAAGTCCCCACCTACTTCCTCAACCCTATATAATAAGTACCTGGCCGGTGATGCAATAAAGAGAGATCCTGCTTCCACGAGTCTCCCGACTCAGTGTGGTTCTCTCTGGTAACTAGGAGGGGGGTTTGGGTCGTCTACACTGCTGGAGGACCGGGCACAATACCAGGTTCCACCAGGATTTTTTTTTTCCCCAGGCCTTTTTTTTATTACAAAAGTTTTTAATCATATGTATATGTGTGACTGCAGGACACATGTGGGGTGTCCAAGGAGGCCGCAGGCGTCATATCCCCTGGAGCTGGAGTTACAGGCAGTTGTCGAGCCTGCTGACTTGGGTGCTGGGAATTGAACTCAGGTCCTTTAGGAAGGATAATATATGCTCTTAACTGGGCTCATGCATACTATAGATACAGGTTTACAAAGAATGAATGTGATGGGAGGAGCCTAAATACAATTCCATTAGACCTACCTGCAAGTCTACAGTTTAACTAGGACAAGAGTGATCGAAGCCACAGCTCGGAACAGGAGGGAGAGAAGCAAAGCCAGGTGATTGCTGGGAGGATGCTCTGCAGTCAGAGAGCAGCCTGAAGGGTGTGTGCACGACACGAGCAAAGCACGGGTTACAGAGTAGGGGGAGGTGTGTGTGCTAGGGCCACGGCTCTGAGCGCAGCTGAGGACCATCTGGGATGGCGAAGAGGAAGAAGCCGAGCCCGCATGATGGAGTTGGAGCTCTGCTTGTTGGCGGGAGGAAAGGGACCCCACAGGCATGTCACGGCAAGCTGTACCCAACAAATAAATAGAAAGGAAAGAAAAAGATAGATACTGCTGAGACAGGAAAGCACAGAGTGGAAGAATTTTAACGAGCCAACCATCCAAGCACCAGCGAGTCCAGGGGCTGAGCCCAAAGAACAGTTTCCATTCACCAAATATTTGCCATTCTTTACTGAACATGAAATTTCACTTAGTGTCTTAGGTACCAGCTTCCAAAGGATGGCTCTAACCACACACCATTTTTTTTTTCTGTATTTAGCTTTTGTCTGTATACATTTTGAACACTGCTACCAAAAAAAAAATCCTTAAGATCAAGTCCAGAAAGTAAGTACCCTGCTTCGTAAGAGCCACAGGCATTAAGTGGCCTCAAAGACCCCTCCCTCCAAGCTGCTTTCTGATGCTCGCCTTCTCCCAGCAGGGCTGCTTCCTCTTGGAGCTTTTTGTCTGTCCAGTGCCATGGGTATGCTCCTGTGTTGTCATGCAATGGTTCCTTTTTTTTTTTTAATTTACTTAAGTTTTTTGTTTTAATTCAGAACAAACTGATCATTAATAATTTTTTTCTGGTCTCTAGCCAGGAAGCATTAGAGTGAAGTACTTGTGTTTCTGACTTTAAAAAGACAGAGACATTCAAACAGCAAGTCATAAAACCTAGTCTACAGCAAGGTTATAATTCAAGCCCTCAGTGGGAGGCTTAAGTGACATCAAGCCACAGGTGCTCTGATTTAGGTTTTTGGCAGTTGCTTTTGAATGCTTATTTGGTTTCGGGAGGAGAAGGTTCCTTTATCAAAGTTAGGGAGAGACTGAACAGAGGGAGCACCTTTGCTCTCCTTACTCCCTGTGCTCCTCCTCCTGCTGCTGCCACCTTTTGGCCATTTTATTGCTTCTGGTACTTCACCACAGGGTAGGCAGCAAAGAGGTGACAAGGGAAGAGTGTGGCTTTGCTCATAGCTGGAGCTGATGTTTAAGAGGACAATGAAACTGATAAATTAGGAAATTAGGAGTCCGTGTAACTCAGGGTCTTCAGTCACTGGTACCTTTTGTTTTCATGTACACCAATATGGAAGGAGGAAAGAGCTATCCGGAAACGCTTGGCAGCCATTCTTCTCGGGGTCCTCTGTCTCTGTCTCCATCTCTCTTCTTCTCTCTCCCTCTTCTCTGAGACAGTGTCTCACTACATAACCCTGGGTGGCCTGGGTTCCTAGAGAGCATCCATCTGCCTCTGCCTGCTGGTGGTGCACTACCACA